CCTTAACCCACAGTACTCACTGCCAGCCACCTCTTCTTCAGAAAAAGAAATCTGTGCCATTGGGTTGCTCTGTGGGGATTGATCTTGCTTTCCTTCTTGCTGCTTTGCAGGGGTTTCTGGAGATATGTGAGTCATTCTATCAACATGCTCATCATGAAGCCTTGAGCTCTTGGAGTCTCTTTGGGTCCTTCCCTCGTTTGTTCTCACATCGGATACCAGGCCCTCCAGCCTTTCTTCTTCTTGATCACCATCAGAAATCAGGCTCCTCTGTGCTGAAGTTTTTGAATCTGACAGCTGGGCTTCAAGAGCAGAAAGTTTATTTTGGTTCTGTTCATCCAGCTGGGGCTGAACAAAGAGCTCCGTGGTATTCATCATCATTTCTGCATCACTTGTCAGGATGCTTGTTCGAATCCCAGATGTAGACTGTGAGTCCACAAGATAGTTCTGTCCTGTTGAGAAAGTTTTAAAACAAACTATGTGAAAAACTTTTCAAGGTCATAGGGACATATTTTACAATCAAGACGTGTAATTCACAATTTAAGTAATTCAACCAAATTTTACTCCTCTTCAACAGATCAAACACTGAGAAACTGTATGACGCCACTTCTGTGCCCACAACACTCCCCACCAAGCCCATAGAGATCTCAGTACCCACAGATGAAGATGATCCCAAATAATTCCCATGGTTTAAATGACCAAACTGGACAAAGTACGTATTTATGTGCACAGAATCAAAGGAACTGCTGAAGCAGATCCTCATTCTAATTAATATTTCTTCCCAAATCCCACTCTAATTCTGTGAATCTATTAGTAAATTTTAAATTCTAAAATACAGACCATCCTTCAGTAAATGCTTCTAAAAGCCCCTTCAACATAAGGCCCTGCCTCCCAAGAGAGAAATAACAACACAACAATAACAACAAAAAGAAACCTTTGCTGTTCAGCATGTTCTGTTCCACTTTGCCTTCAAACACTTGTAAGTCAACAGCCTTGCGGGTTTTTGGTCTCCGGAGCAAGCCCCTCTTTTCAACGGTGTCTGGGGCCAGCAAGGAACCCACAGACATACGAAAGGATCTGTATAAAGAGGAAAGAAATTGTCAGAATCATGCACTCCCCTTTTACCCTCAGAATACAGACATGACAGCACTAACTGTGACACATTTTGCAGGACTGCGAGAAATTTCCCCAAAAAAAACTTTAAGATTATATGTCAGTCTTTAAATTAATTGTTTATTTCTATACTATCACCCAACTTCAGGATATGTATCAGAGAGATGAGGAAGCAGACTTTTTTACAGCCTCCCTGAGACACTTCAACACTACAGCAGACAAAAGGGTCAGAAATTAAAAAAATCAAATCTCAAACAAATGTTTGAGAGTAAAGACATACTCTAGATGACAATGGGGTGGTAGGAGGACTTCCCAACAAGTTTAAGAATCTACTTAGTATCAATACTCTCAGCAAAGTACAGCTACCAACACATTGTGACTTTTTTAAAGATGAGAGCTGACAGCAACACCTGAAGCATAGGAAAAGATGTTTCTCATTGTAGGTATTCTGCACCCTGAAGACTGACCATGTTCAATGGCCTCCTGTCCCTCTCTCCAGGCAACCCAATTAAAACGGGGGTTCAGAGGGTTCAAAGACAGAAGCACAGAATATAACCCCAAAAAGCATCTTGTGTGGCATCCCAGGCAAGAGCTGCAATGAGAAAAGTGAAATAATGTGCTGACTTTGGCCAGGGTCATGTGTAAAGTACACGGCAACACTGGAAAGTAAGTTCTTTGATTCACTTAAAAGCTCTTTAAGTCCAGAAAATACTGCAAATATGCAGTATTATCTACTGCAATAGATGTAATTGATGTGATGAAACTATTAACAGGCAGGGATAATATTCTAATTCTGTACTGATTTACTGTTGGAAGCATGAGAATGAAAGGAAAAAAGGAATGATCCTAGCAAGTAAAAAGAGGAGCAAGAGGAGCAATACAAGCTAGACCAACCCTGGCATACTGTGCAGAGCCACAATTTCTGAAAACCAAAAAGTGTGGGGTGCAACACCTTCAAAGTCCAACAGCAGAGGGGCAGATGGCTGTGCTATTGCTGATACTAACACAGATCTTTACATGAACCAGGTATCTGCACTGCTCTCACCCCTTCAGATGTGACCATACCTAGGACTGACAGAAGTTAATGCATTTTAGGTTAAACTCACCGAGCCGTAATTGTGCTGTCCAACGTTGATGGAGCTAGAAAAAGTTGATGGCACATTAGTTGAGCAATTACCCTTTACACAACAGGCTACAAGAACATCCCAAAGGATCTTCCTCTCTTCAGAGCCAGCCATGCTACTATCCTCAAACATACTTTGATGCAAAAAGAATTAGATAACGGGGTCACTTTACTATTTCTTGCCTACATTTCAGAATTGCATACTAGAAATCTAATAAGCAATTTCTGAAAGGGTGAGACAATATTTATTTCAATGAAAATTTAACATGGCATAAACCCTCAGATTTAGTAATTTTAATTTTACCACACTGATGACAAGATGTTAGGCCTTGGTCACAACCACCCTTCAGCAACGTAACCCAAACACATCTGGAGCTTTAGAAACACAGGTAACTATTCCACAGACTCTTGATGAAACTGGAACTCAAACTTATTCTGCTCACAAAGAACTTTGTTTTATATAACTGCAAGAGAAAGCATGCAGCTGCTTGTATATGAAAGTGTCTAGAACTGAGAAGAAGACAGGGATTGCTTCCTCTGGAGACACTTCAAAACTCAAAAAGCACCAAATTGCAAAATAGTCAAAAAATTATATATAGCAGTGGCAGAGCCTAGAACTTGGCTTAAAAAGGTTTATTTTAAATTTGATAGGATGGGGCATGAGATACTGCAATCTGGATTCCAAACCTACAACTGTCCAGCTGGGCAGCTCTTGACAACTGAGTTGAGCAGGTGAGAACCAGCTGACAGCAAATGCAGCACTGAGAAAGGTAATTTTTGACTGCAGCCTTACCTTGGTTCTGGGGAAGTCGTCTCTCTGCTGCTCTCTCAAATTCAGAAATGCTTAATTTCCTTCTCTTCTTTGTCGTGTGGAACACAGTGATATATTTTTCCTCAGGAGCAACATCTGGCAGCTGCAATTCCCCCCTACCAAAACAAACCAAGCTGAAGAGCCATTTCTGATAATCCCCCTGACAAGATGCAATTCTGGTCACTAAAACACAAGTAGAGAAGTCCTGCTCCCCAATCACAACACAGGAACTGCAGCTATACCTGGCAGTGAAATTAAAGTGCAAATTATCAAAAAACCCTACTTACATGCTGGAAACCCTCTTAGATGGGACTTCTGAATGAACTTCTTGTGTGTCTTCACGGCTAGATATCTGAGGTGCCAGTGGTGAAACTTGGGGTTCTGCCAACAAACCAGAACATTTCCTTTCCACAATTCAAGACAGCAAGAGCACCAAAATGCAGCAGGGTGTCACATCTACACTATAGGCTGTAAACAACATTTACTAACAGGTTAAAATAAAGACCTAGTAAAAACTATTTGGGTTCTACTCCTGGCAGTGACAGATGGTGGCAGGGGATTTCCCTGCACTGCAGAAGAATGTGCCTCTATAACACACCTGATCCTACAAAGGCAGCACCAGGATTATGTGCTCAGTCACCAGGATAAGAAGTCCAAGTGAAGAGGGTTTTGAAGAGGATCTTCAAAGCTATGATTTCACCAGTGCAAGGCCTGGTCTCTCAGACACCTGTATCCTGCATTCAGGTGCCCTGCAGCGACTCCTCTGTTACATAAATCAGTCATACAACAATCTGATTTCTGTTCCATTTAACAGGGAAAGGATAATGGGCTACCAAGAACACCCCGTTTTCTCAACTCTACAAAAACATTGTATTTCTGTTCTCAATTTTCTTGAAAGAAGATACTCACGGTTCTGCACGACTCTCTTGAGCATAAGCCGTGGTGTGCCATTTCTGAGATCAGGGAACACTGCCAGTCTCTGCTTTGCAAGGGTGCTTCTGACAGATTTTCTCCTATTTTCTACACTTAATTCAGTCTAAAGAGAAATCAGGAAACAAGCAATTCAAAGCTAGTATTTTAATTATTAAAGATTCCAACATCAAAAGCACCCACCACCCGTGTTCTAATCACTTGCTCTGTTCTAATAACAAGCGAAGCAAGCTGGACAGAAATTTTTTCCAAATTCCAAAGAGAAATTGCGCGTGACAACTTTTGACATGCATGTTGTTTTTTTTTTTGACGTGACACTTTTTGACAATGGTGGCACTTCCCGTGTGGACAGGAGACAATTCAGCTCGGGCTACCATCCAGTGGATTCCAGCATAAAACTCTCCTATGGGCGAAATCCTGGGTGACCCCAGAGCACAGCCGCGACCTAAACCCGCCGAGCTGCGGGCTACTCGGCAAAGTCAGGGGTTTCGGCCCATTTCCCACGATTAAAGGCGAACAAGGGTGAAGGAGCGGCCTCCGCTCCTGCTTCAGAGGCCTCATTTCTGTCTCAGACCGAGAGCGACCGGGCGGGCGGAGCCGGGCGAGTACCGCGGAATGATCGATTCCGACAGCGACTCTCCTTTCCCCCTTCTTCCTTTTCTTCCCTTTCGCCCGCCCTCCCAGATCCGTCCGCGCACCTGGGCCGCCGCCCGCGCGTTGTGGTGGCCGCTGCGCCTGAGCCTGGACCGGGATCGCCTGTCGGCCATGGCGGGCCCGGTAACGGCCGACTCCTCCCGCGTCCTGCAGCCTCTCGCGAGACATAGACCTGAGCGCGCGCGCGCAGGGAGGGGCCGCGGCGCAGTGTGGGGCGGGTAGTTCCGCCGGTGGCGCGGTGCATTGTGGTCCGCGTAGTTCCGGGGCGGCGGCGGCGGCGGCGGCGAGAGGCCGCGCGGGCCTTGTGGGAGCTGTAGTTCGGCGGGGCCGCTCGCCCCGCTCGCCGCGGGTGTCCCCCCGCCCCGCGAGGCCATGCCGGGCTTCACCTGCTGCGTACCGGGCTGCTACAACAACTCGCACCGCGACAAGGCGCTGCACTTCTACACCTTCCCGAAGGACGAGGAGCTGCGGCGCCTCTGGCTCAAGAACGTCTCCCGGGCGGGCGTCAGCGGCTGCTTCAGCACCTTCCAGCCCACCACGGGCCACCGCGTCTGCAGCGAGCACTTCCAGGGCGGCCGCAAGTCCTACCTGGTGCGGGTCCCCACCATCTTCCCGCTGCGCGGCGTCAACGAGCGCAAGGCTCAGCGGGCCCGGCGCCCCCGCCCCGCCGCCGCCGCCTCCGCCGCCCCGCAGGGCCCCGCGGCCGCCGCCGAGGCCCCTGCAGGGGGCGCGGCCGAGGACGTGAAGCCCATCGACCTGACGGTGCAGGTGGAGCTCGGGGCCGCCGCCACCATCGGGCCCAGCCCCGTGCGGCTGCCGGTGCCGGTACCGGCGGCGGCGGCGGCGGCAGGGGAGGAGAGCCCGGTGGAGGGCGGCCCCCCCGATCACTCGTACTCGCTGTCGTCGGGCACCACGTCGGAGGAGCTGCTGAGGAAGCTGAACGAGCAGCGCGACATCATCGCGCTGCTGGAGGTGAAGATGAAGGAGATGAAGGGCAGCATCCGCCGCCTGCGCCTGGCCGAGGCCCAGCTCCGCGAGGAGATCCGCGAGAAGGACCGGCTGCTGCACGCTGCCAGCGCCGGCACCCGCAAGCGCCACGGCCTCTGAGGGCTGCCGGGGCCCGGCCCGGCGCGGGGCTCTCCATCCCGGAGCCTCCGCCGCCCGCCGTGCCGGGCACAGCAGCGATGGGATGGTGCTCGGCTCAGCCCACGCCACAGCAGCCCCCAGCCGGGAAAGGCCTCGCCATCGGATTCCCCTTCCTGGACTGGATCAGCCGCGTGCCCAGCCCCGTTATCGCCCCGACGTTGTCTCCGGTGTCACCTCACACCGGGCCCATCAAACGCGCTGTGTGCGGTGTCAGAACACGCTGCTCGTAGCGTGGATAGGACCCGAGCCGTCACTAAGTGGACGTAGGGTATCAGTTTTCAGCAAATAAACTCGCTCTGTGTCAAGTGAGGTAACAGCAACACTACCCTGGAGAAGGCGTGTCCGACTGCCGTGGGCACTGTACCCATCATAGGAATGGTCGGTGATGTCGCATTCAGCCTCGCTCAGTGGAGGAAAGCTTTAGAAACCCTCTCAGGGTGATGTGTTTCTTCAGTAAATTACTGATGCCGTAAGGCTGCTGTTCCTAGCGTGACAGAACCCCCAGATTAAAGAGTGTTCTTGTACCGTGTAGTTTCTGCTTTCTCTGCGGCGTGTGTGTATTGGTTACAGATGTCTTGATGCTCTTGACACCAGTAAGGATTACAGTCTGGTACAAAGAACACGGTGGCATTTAACAGCTGTAGTTTATCTCATTGGCTTAAGACTCCCTCTAATGAAATGGAGGCTTTGTAACACATTGGAATTTTAATCCTTGGCTTTCGTTCAGAGAACTAGGATGAAACAGAAGTGACTTTACCTGCAGTGGTTGCAAACCTTTCCTGTCTAATCCTAAACTAGTTGGCATGACTAATAATCTGTACATTAGGCAAGACCATACTAAAACCTGCTTGTGTGTTCTAAACCAAGATTTAAGAGTATTGTACAAATCTATGTGGAATGGTTGTATAATTTCTGTTTCTAGCCAGCATCAATCCCTTCACTTTCTGCAGCAGGAAACCAGATCGGCGTTGGCTAGAAAGAGGGTGGAGGGAAGGTAGCAAAACCACGGGTTTGGCTTGGTTATGCACTTCCAGCCTGGCTGGTGGAACACATCCCTCAGCAGTTTGGAGGAGGAGAAGAGTGTCTGGTGCTCCAGCAGGGCCCTGTGGCAATGGGCAACAATGATGGATGTTGAGAACAGAAGCCACTTCACCACAGTGTGCCCATATTCCCCTTTGAGGGTTCCCAGGTGTTCCCTGGGTCTGTGAGATCCTTCTGGAACCAGAGTGCATTGCACTCAGTAGATTGGGATGTCACTTTTACTAAATTTTATAGACGTATTTTCTAAATGTAAAAAGTATCTTTAGTTTGAAATTATGTAATCTTTGTAACAATGGCTAATGTAGCTTTACATCAGCTTCTACACTGTATACAACCAAGCAAAAGGGCACCCTGGGGTTTTGTAGCCAGAGGTTTCTCTGTAGATCCTGAAGCCAGTTCAGCTCCAGGTTGTCACAGCCTGCTATGTGATGCATGGGTCATTTTTTATTAATGTGTGTGCCAAGTTGGATGGTCATCTGTAAGGATACTACATGTCTATCCATGTACTAAGTACTGCCTGTTACTTCAGTTTAATTTATTCTCCAATCTGATATGTAGCTCTCCAGCTCTGTGCTATACTGATTTTTCTGCGAGTCGAGTTAGCGGGAATTTTTTCGTTTGGTTGGTTTGGCTTGTTGTTTTGGGTTTGTTTTTGGGGTTTTTTTTGGTAGGACAAGCAGATACATGCTCCACCATGGGATTTAACATATGTGATTGGTCCAGCAGCTCTAGATGCTCCCATCAAGACAGTAGGCAGCACAACATCCCTCCTTGCTGGTTGTGCATCTGAGCTTGTTGAGAACGTGCATGTCGTGACAGTCATGGTACTTTTTCTACCATTGGGATGCACTTCAGGATGTTCAGCCATTCAGCCTTGCTGGACTGGTTACCTGCTGGACTGTTTGACTTCTCCAGGTTACACTGAGGTGCTAACATGCTTAATTTTAATAAAGTATATTTTGTTTTCTTACATTTCCTGTCTCCTTGTGGTTCGTATATCTATTTATGAGAGGTTTGTGGCTGTAGCTTTGTGTTCTCTTTTGTAACATCTTTTTATTCATTGTGAGCTCTACAGCTGGAGCAGCGGGAATATCTTTACATTCATGTAAGGTGAGGAAGAGGAGTTTGAGGTTAGTTCAGTGTACCACACACCTCCCTGTGCAGAGGTTGGTGCCTTTTTGGTGAGCAATCAGTCACAGGGCGCTCTCTGTGTAACCAGGAGGGGTTTGAGCAGGGAGCCAGGCTTCCCACAGGGCTTCCCCCAGCATGACTCTCCTGTCTAATGTCTGGTGGAGGAAGGAGAAGGCACGGCCTCCCATGAAACAGCATAGTGCAGGGAAAAGCTGGAATGTACTCCTACAGTTTATAATTCCACCTGCCAAAGTTCCTGGTTTCCGGATGGATTAGAGCTATTAGTCTCAAGCAAACATATGCAGCAAAAAATTCAGCTATGCCTCAACCATCACATTTTTGGGTTGAACTGGGAATGTTGAATGCAGCTGCAGGATGGGGAGGTGATTGTCCCACTCCACTCTGTGCTGATGCAGCCTCACCTCGAGTTCTGGGAGCAGGTTTGGGCACCATAGGACAAGAAGTACCTAAAGCTGTAACAGAGCATCCAAAGGAGGCCATGAGGTTGGTGAAGGGTCTAGAGGGGAAGCCATGTGAGGAGCGGCTCAGGGCATTTGTCTTGTTCAACGTGGAGAGGAGGAGACTGAGGGCAGAGCTCATTGTGGGCTGCAGCTTCCTCGGGAGGGGCAGCAGAGGGGCAACGCTGATCGCTGCTGTCTGTGACCGGTGACAGGACCCGAGACAACGGCTGAAGCTGTGCCAGCGGAGGTTTAGGCTGGATGTTAGGAAAAGGTTCTTCACTCAGAGGGTGGTCGGGCTCTGGAAGAAGCTGCCCGGGGAGGTGCTCAGAGCAGCGGGGTGACCGAGCTCACGGAACGTTCACACAATACCCTCAAGTGTAGCACGGGCCGCAACCGGCACCCAGCGGTGTCAGGATGGCCGAGCGGTCTAAGGCGCTGCGTTCAGGTCGCAGTCTCCCCTGGAGGCGTGGGTTCGAATCCCACTTCTGACAGCACTTTTTGCCCTTCGCTCGCTGTAGTTAATTAGTTAATTGCTTTTAGTCGCGAGCCTTTGCTCCGCTGTCGGCTTTTTATTCCCGCCCGCCTTCCCCAGCTAAAAGCGGCCGCCGGGCGGCGCAAAAGGGAGCTGTCAGAAGTGGGATTCGAACCCACGCCTCCAGGGGAGACTGCGACCTGAACGCAGCGCCTTAGACCGCTCGGCCATCCTGACCTGCCGCCCCACTTCTTCTAGCAGCCGCGCCCCATCCCAGATCCCAGGCGAGCGGTCCTGCCGGGACACCGGGATCAGCTCCGGGATCAGCCCCGGGATCAGCCCCGGGATCAGCCCTGTGCCACGGTCCGCATTAACGACCTGCGTGACGGGGCCCGGGCTGCCCTGGGCACAAACTAGGAGCAGTGGCTAATAGTCCAGAGGGTCCTGCTGCCGCCCAGAGGGACTTGAACAAGCCCGAGATACGGGCTGCCAGGAATCTCCTGGAGCGGAGGGTGATGAGGCACTACGCAGATTGCCCGAAGAAGCTGTGTCTGCCCCGTCCCTGGAAGTGTTCAAAGCCAGGGACTTGGAGCAACCTGCTCTAGTGGAATGTGTCGCTGCACGGCAGGAGGTTGCAACGAGGCGCTTTAAGATCACGTCCAACCCAAATTATTCCAGCATTTAACAAGGAGATGCGTGTAACCCGGCCCCCGCTGAGGAACTACGCCGGACACCAGGATGCCCCGGGGGCCACCAAATGTCCCCGGTGAGCAGCAGCAGGACACGGCCGCACAGAAGGTTCGCGGTGACCCGGGAGCGGGGGCCGGCACGGCGGTACCCCGGTACGGGGACACGGGGATACCGGGAGCGCGGGGCCGGGCCGAGGCTCCGCCGCATGCCCGGGGGCGGCGGGGCGGGGGCAGCCGCGGGGCTCAGCCCGGCCGCCCCGGAGCCTCCCGCGCCCCGCCCGCGGAGGGGCCGTGCCGGGGCCGTGCCGGGGCCATGGCGGGGCTGCCCGGTGCCGCGCGCTCCCGGAGCGCCTCCCCGGGCTCCCCCCCGGGCCTGGACGGCTCCTTCTTGCTCTCGCCGCTCGGGGGACTGATGGGCGCCCAGGCCGTGAGTACCGGGGAGGGAACGCGGCGGAGCGGGGAGGGCATCACCCCCTTTGGTGTTTCTCTTCAGCTGGAAACAGCCCGGGTTCTCTTTGGCTGCCACTCCGACCCCATCTCCGCTAAGCCTAATTAATCCCCAAGCCTAAGACAGTGCAGCCCCCTCTCTCCTCCTTTCCTCCGCAAAGCCAGAGGAAAAGTCGGGTTCTTGTCCCCACACCCCGTGCCGGTGTGACTCCGCTCGGTGCCGGGCGGTTCCCAGTGCCTGGCACGGGGTGATCCGTGCGGGGTGTGCGAAGCCCAGTGGCTCCAGGTGAGGTGTGCTGGGGTTTCTCTTGAGGCTCTCACGCTCCTTGGAACACTCAGCTCTCCAGGTTGTCCTTCCAGGCTTTGGCGGCTGCTCTCAGAGGAGCCCGAGGGTCCTTGCACCATCAAATGGAGCAGCAGCATCACCTCCCCATTGCTTCAGCATCGGATGCAACCACAATAATCTCTCCCTCCGGTGCTCTCCCCGGGGCTGCGGGAGCCACGTGAATGCACGGGGGTGGGTGTTCAGCTGCGTTCTGGGCCGCTTGTGAGCTGCCCACGGTGCCGCCCCGCTGTGGGAGCCTGTTCGTTGCTCCCCTCTCCTCGGGGCAGCGCTGTGGGATGTGCCCTGAGAAGCCACTGTGAAACAGCTGGCACAGACCTGGCTCCAGATTCCAGCCCCTGGGCACGGCTGAGCTGGTGGTGACACAGGGACAAACGCTCAGGGAAGGGGCCAGGAACGATGCTGCTGGGGGTACCTTGTAGGAGCGTCAGGAAAGAGATGGCAGAACAGCAGCAAAGACTTCACAACTCTGCAGCTGGTCCCACCTCTGCAGCCCCTTGCTCAGGCCAGACTGCTGAACCTGCTTTCATCTGCCGGCAGCCGGAGCGGGGCAGCTCACACATGCCACCTCCCACTCCTGTAGGAGTCCCCTCTACATGCTTCTCCCCAGCACATATTTTGCGATCACGAGTGTTAGAAATGGATGTGACAGACAAGGAGGCATTGTCGGGGCAGCCGAGCACCAGGGCGTTGGACGCGGGCAGGACAAAGGCCGTTGTGTTTCTTCCATGACAATAAGTGGTGCGGGCTTACACAGGGGCACAGCGGCTTTCCAAGGCGCCCTTCTCCTGCCGAGTGTGCTTTCCTGGAGTGAGGGGAACCCAGCTGCTGTTGGTGCTGGTGTGCCTGGGCTTGTGGGCGATGCTCTGTGTTCCTCCTGCAGGAACCAGCCCCTGACCACGTTCCCCGTTTCACCTCATAGGTGCTCGGTTTACTGGTGTGGTCTCTCATCGCTGCCACAACGTACCACCTCCATGCGGCATACGGCTGGGTGATGTTCGTGTCCCTCTTCTTCTGGATACTAACACTCCTTTTCTTCGTGACTTACCTCCTGCAACTTCATCAGAAGTTCTACATGATCCCTTGGCCCCTCGTGGTGCGTAGCTGAGAGGGAATGAGGCGGGGTGGGTTCCCAAGAGGGAAACATCTTGGAAAGATAGTCTGGAAAGGTTTGTCTCTTCTTGGATGGAGCCGAGTCCCCTGCACTTTGCACAGTGACATTGCTTCATTCTGCCCTTGAATTGATTGGAAAATGCTCAAATCAGACCCTTGCAGCCACCAGCTGCTGCAGTTGCGGTGTCATCCGAGAACCGCCCAGCACAACCTGGGGAGCATTTAGTGTGTTCTCCTAGGGAACGGGGAGGAATGCGAACCCGAGCCTTTTGCTCCTGCCTCTCCGCAGCACACACGAGCCTGAGCCCAGAGCTCAGGTCCTCCTCTTTGCTTTCCGCAGCTGATGATCTACAACGCTGTGGCCACCGTGCTGTACATCACCGCGTTCGTGACGTGCGCGGCCGCGGTGCAGCCCACGTCCTGGCGGCAGTGGGACTACAACCGCAGAGCCGCCGCCTCCGTGAGTACCGGCGGGCAGGGGAGGGCCGAGGGGCGGGGGCAGCCGCCGTGGTCACACGTGGGATGTGCTCCTCTTCCAGTTCTTCGCCTGTGTCACCATGATCACTTACGCGGTGAGTACTTTCTTCAGCTTCCGCGCCTGGAAAGGGCTCGGCAGCAATGCGGCCACCAGCCAAGTGACTGAGCACGCCTAAGGAGCGGACGGCAAAGCCCGGGCACCCCGCGCCAGCTTGTGCCAGGCTTGGTGGCTTGGAGCCCCGTGTGCCACCAGGGCTCGTTTTGGACCAGCCTGTGCTGGCAACAGTGGTCAGAACCGGGTCATGTGGATGCTGCCCTGTGGATTCCGGTGATGCTCCCATCATCATTCCCCGGCATCGCCACTGAGGGACACGGACTCGCCGGGGCCGCAGCTCCTGCTCCTCCCCGGGGGTCATCCGGATCCTTGCTGCAGCAGCTCCACTGAGGGGGCTCAGCCAATTTGGCACAGTCCAACACTAAAATTCACTAACCCAAGCCCAGGCTCCCCTCTCTGCTCATTCACAGCTACAGTGTAAGTAATGTAATTAACAGGATGCAGAAACAGTGGCAGAGCTGGAAGATGGGAAGGGAAGCAAAGGAAGCAGTCATAACTGCTCTTGTATTGATTTCTAACAATTTGAATATAAATTTTATGCTTTAAATAAAAACATTCCTAAACCCAGCACTGGGGTCTGTCATGAGAAAACTTGTCTTGTGAGGAGGCAGCACACAGAGCTGTCAGGGACAGCAGAGATGTCACTGCAGAGCTGGCTGTTCCTTCCCACTCCATGTGGGTTTTGGCTCACGTGGGCTATGGAAGGAACAAGTCCACAGGGTTCACCTCTCTGCTTTATGCACACACACGCTCAGAGTGTGCATCCAAGACCACAAGAACACAAACCAGGTGCCAAGGCTTTGATCACCTCCCTCTTCCTGGCTCAGCACCACACACTCCTGAGTTCACCTAATTAACCAGCAAGCTAATTCTGCCCATTAGCTGCAGGTCATTTTCAGAAATTACAATCAAGTCTGCTCTGGGAACACGGGCAGGATCAGCGCCTCGGGAAAGGGAAGAACCACGCTGCTCCCCTGTGCTGCAGACCACAAATTCACCTTTTGGGTGTTTGTCAGAACAAGAAGTGATGCCCAGCCAGGCAGAGCAGCTTTTCCATTCACACCCTCCTTGAATAAGGTAGTAAAAGTATATCCAGTGAGTTCAAAAACTGGTGTGTGGTGAGCTACACTGCAAATCTTACTGCATGCTCTGCACGGAAAAAGTTTTCCCAGGTTGTCTGCAGAGGCAGGATCAGGAAGTGGAACTGCATTGATGGAAGGTGAGAACTGAAAAGGAACTGGACACATGGCATTGGTCCACGACAGATCTGCCTTTATTTGCTTGTCAGTGAGTAAATCAAGGGTCAAATTTCCACAATTATGAATATATAGACATATATATATGTAACAGGAACAGTAAGAAAATTTAAAAAATAAATTAATAAAAATTAACATGGGAGATCACTACTGAATTTCACAGAACAGGTCTAAATAAAAGGTTTATTTATAAACACTGATGAAAGACACTAGTCTCAGCCTTCCAAACTCTGATACATTCCAAATTAATTTAGCATTTATCCAGATTCAAGTGCATCACAGGGCAACCGAGGCTCCAGAAACTGCATCTCTCTGGGAAGGATGTGACCAAAGAAATGATGTGCTGTTCTTAAAAAGCAGCTGATGGCTGATCAGCATGAATTTTGCCTTGGTGAACTACTTCCCTGCACACACTGACTTCTCAGTTATAACCACATCCCTGAGAACTGAGCATCTTTTACTGCCAGATGGCCACACTGGATGGGATTATCAGCAACCTGGTCTAGTGGAAGGTGTCCCTGCCCATGGCAGGAGGGTTGGAACTGGATGATTTCCAGTTAAGCAATGGTGCTGCAGGAACAGACGGAATAAACTGTTCTCTGTGTTCAGCAGAGACAGAACAAAGGACAAGGAGCTCAAACTGCAGCTCAGGCACTTTATATCAGAGTGCAAAAGGCTCCCTGCAGCAGCAGCTGCTGGGCACCGCACAAAACTGCCCAGACAAACCACGGCAGCTTCTAAGAAGATCCTGGCAGACACATAAAGAGAAGTTTGGGTAGAGCTGGGGAAAGGAAGACTACGTCTCACAGTCTCGTCCATCCACTTTGTAAAAGGGTATAGAAATTTCCAGAAAGCTTTGATTTCACCCTCTGGAGAGGGTCCCACAGTCCTGGCCCTGCCCCACCGCACACCCACCTCCCTCACAGCCGCCGTGGAGCCGAGTCCCTGCCCCTCTGCCCCGGCCGTCTCTCGGGAATCGCTGCCTTTCACCTCTGAAATTCGAACAGACCTTGCTTAAAATACAACAGAACTCCCTTCAGAATGACTTGTTTAATGGTTTAATGAAGTCACCACTAACGCACTGCTTAAATCCAGACTTCGACCTTCTTTTTCCTAGAAACATGGGGGAAAAAAAGAAATCCGTGACTCCACGATGATTTGGAAGAAGCATTTCAAAAAATGAAACAGGCAGTACATTCTCTGCTGCATCAAACCAATATAAAATTACATGTTACTTCAGCATCTGCGATTGAATGTGAACCCAAGTAGATTGTGCAGGAATCCCAGGGGTGAGGGGGCTGTCACCCTGCCAGTGTCTGTCCATGTCAGAGCAATCTTGCTTGCACCTGGTCGGGAATGCTGTGCCAGGGGCTCAGGGATCTACTGAAATCTGGCTCCTGTCGTTTGTCTCTTGGAGACCCCAATCTACAAATCCCAACTGAAACTCCTCCTGCTGCTGAAAGACTGACTCTTTCTCTTCAGCTTGTCCCCATTTCCACAAAATTCACAGGGTTGGGGAGGGGTCAGGGGCATAACCACAACTGTGACTCTTTGCTCCTTGTCAAACAGGACTGGACCGACACTGGAGAGCACTGATTTTCATTTTGCTAGTAAAAACCTCATCCAAAAATCGTAGCACTTTTGTTTATTCCTTCAGAGACGAGGAGAAAACAAATGAAAGAGGTTTAAAAAGCTAATTTTGGAAAGACTAAAATAAATTAATAAAAAATAAAAGAAGATACTATAGAGTCAGAATGGCCAAGATGGAAAGGGATCTCTGGAGGTCACCTGGGCCAAACCCCACACTCAAGCATGGTCACTCAGGACCGTGTCCAGACAACTTTAGAATATCTCCAAGGATGGAGACTCTGCAGTCTCTCTGGGCAAGGTAACTGTCACAGTGCTCAGAGACTGCCACAGTGAAAAAGTGTTCCCTTCTGTTCATTTGGAAAACAACGTTCACAAATGCAGGAAGTTCACAACAGCAGGAAGAGCTGCTCCACATGCCAGCTTCATTCATGTTTTCTAGAAATTATTAAATGTGCAGTTTGAGTTCAAAAAGACATTTGGTGAAGTAATTTTTCTTTTGACTCCGTTACAGTCTTTGATTAAATACTGTGATAGTAACTTTCCCTTTAGCACTCTCAGGGGGAGCTACACAAAACCAAGAGCCACTGTGTCAATGAAAATAAACAATGCGATATACTCACAGCTCTGTATTCCAAGAACATTTCTTTGAAAGCCAGAAAGTCTGTAAATGTGAGAAGCAGATCAAATATATCACCTGGCATTTCATCTTTGTGTTGTCTACAGAGAAAAAGAAGTTGGGGTATGAGAAAATTGTGTGAGAAAAAATTGTTATTTTAAAATGGTACAAGGTCAAAAAGGACAAGTAAAACAGTATCAGTATTTAAACAAGAATGTTATTGCAGGTTATCATATAGCAAAACTGCAGCCAAATATTACCATGAAGTATTTCCAATCCAAATACATTATGACATTTATTTAAATCCAAGACCCATGAATATCATATCAGTCCTTGAAAACCAGACCTGTTTATTTAAGAAACATTAAAAATTAAACAGATTCAAATATTTTAAGATACTCAGCTCCCAAATACACTTGATTTTCTTATTCAAGGGGAAAGCCAGTGATCTAAAAGACAGCTCTTCAGGAAGCTGGTTAAGGTAAAATGACCCAATGCAAAAGCTGAACACAAACCAAACTCTTCTCTGAATGCTCTATACAGAAACTGCAATAAAGGAATTTAACCTCATGATTGAAACACCACCAGGTTACTGAAGTGCCTGGAAGAGATAAACAAGACCCAGCCTCTCAAGGGTCTGGCTTTGAAGTGACAAGAAATATGAAAATCCTCCAGTGTTCTCATTCTGATTTATCTTTCTACCCCTTCAAACACAATATATTTCAGCATGACAATTCAGAAATTTAGAGTAGCAGGACATGCTGAAGGCAAGAAAAGTGGTCAGCCACTGCCTGCATGAACACTTATTTTTTTGAGTTAAATTGGAACCATTATCTAAAGGGAGAACAGCCAAACCTAAGCTTTAATCTAGATAAAAAGAACTGAGAGGCACATAAGCCACTCCTCAACCAAAAGCAAAGCAGAGACTTACTGCAATGACACTGTGAAAGCAACCATATCAAACCCACGAATCCGATCAAGCAACTTCTCTTCAATGTATTTCTCTACTAAAGAGATCTGAAAAAAACCCAGACAAACCACCCCAGTAAGAACACAACAGATTTCAGAAGCAGATTTCAAACATCATCCTTACACTGACACCTTCTTGACACTCTGCATGATCCTCACTAGGCACAACTGCAGATTCCTCAGTGGGTGTTGCTGGTTCTGGTCTCACACCAGCCCTGAGGCACAGAGCTGCACATTTTTTGCTGAGGATCTTGGGGAGAACAAACACTGACTATTTGTATCTAGTAACAAGTATTTTTCCGACTCATTTAATGGTACTGAATAGTAGACTGGTCTAATTTCTTGATTATGGTTTGCATGAAGAATGTGATTGAATTATCCAATACAAGAAATAATACAACTGGAAAGGAAGAAACTTTGTTTGCACACATGCTAAACTGTTCTTTACTACAGCACTTGGCTAAATTTCTATTCAAGAGAGCTACACAACTTCCAAAATATCCCTAGAAAATTTTGTGTGAAACAATGAGAAAGGAACCTAAAGCTTGAGAAAAAGCTTCTCTTGCTCACAGATCATGGCTGAGCTCTGAAGGAGACAGAAACATGTTGAGATCTGCTCCATGTAAGCCCAGTCTTTTATAAAGGGAGAACTACATATTAAAAAAAAAAAAAAAAGTAATACATATGAAAAATAGGAAAAGGTATCTTACATATTCATTAAAGATGTCTGTATAGACAAGCTTGTTTTCTTCTGAGTCATCAAACTCCTGGTAGTGCTTCTCCAAAAAATTCCTCTGTATTAACTGGAAATCATCATCTGGGCCATAACAGAAAAGCAGCACAGTTACGAGTTTAGTCATTCTTTCTGTAACACAAACCCCACATTCACTGGTCCTCTGCTTCTCTGCTGTAACCACAGAGCCCTGCACACGTGCAGACTTCATCACATCAGCACCACAGCTGCTGCCAAAGCACCACTTCTGACCCATCTGCAAGAAGACAGAGGCTGCTGGTGAAATATTACCAACACAGTCCTCCTGCTCTACATTTATTAATAGTTATTTATTCTGAACCTCTTTTGTTCTGGCTCTAATGTCAGCAAAACATCTGTATTTTTTAAGTGAATATCTCTTCCCTACAAAAACTCAAAGTAAGTTCTTTTTTCTTTGAATTTAAAAATATTAGTGAAACCCCCAAATTAAATTTTCAATTGCCAAATAATTTTTTTTCCAGTTGTGGAAGAAAATAAGAGTAAAAATAAACATGACAGGTCACCATGGAATTCCCAGAACAGGTTTAACTAAAACGTTTCTTTATAAAGACTGGTAAAGGACACCAGTCACAGCTTTCCAAACTCTGACACCAAATTAGTTTAGTTAGCATTTCTCCAGATTCAACTGCATCACCAGGAAACTGAGGCTCTAGAATCTGCATCTCTCTTCCATGAAGCAGGCAGGAGCTTGGTATGTTGGCTAATTAACAGAAGAGCAGCTGTAAACGTGTTTAGTAACCCTGTTGTCTGTACCTACTTGCAGACCTTACCCATTATGATATCCTCCAGATAGCCAACAACTGCATCAAACTCATCAGAAGTGGTGGAGCTGAAAGCAAAGGAAGACAGGATTGCATAAATATATATTTTGACCACAGCAGAAATTAAAGTTAAAATTAAAAAGTGTTAAGAAAAGCCTAAGTACAAATAAACCCAGTAATTACAAGATAACTGAAAAACTTCCTAGTTTCAACCTACAAAATAATCCATGGCACTGATGAGAAGACTGCTCCACAGAGATTCTCATCAGGCCTCTACTCTATTTCCTCACAGTAATTGCAAGAAAGAATAAATGTTGTTTTTCTGGCATTACCGTCAAGGTAATTCTAGTTCTGGTGCAAAAGAATGTAAAGGGTGTAATTAGAACAGCAAATTAAGCCTTTTCCAACCCACAAATCCCAGCTGTTACCAGTTTCCCTTCTCTTCCCTGCACATGGTGATCACAGACCTGCAGACACTCTAGAGACTATTTTGAAATATTTGGTCTTGTGGAACAACTTAAACTGAATGTATACACAAGTATTACAGAACTGAAGAAACTTAAATATTTTTCTTATGCAAGAAACATCCTTACATGATCCAAATAAATGGGATAATCTCCTAAGGTTATTCTATCATGACCAAATATTAAACACCATTATGGATCTGAATTTATCCAGGAAATATCCAAGAAATCTTTGGTGGCAGCATCAGGAGTCTGGATCTATTACTGTGCAACATGTTCAGACACAGTAAATAATCCACAGGATGTCTTTGGCATTCACAGCTCATCTTCACTGTGAGATGAACTCTTCCTATTTTCTCTAAGGGATGAAAGACAAACTTTTCTCACACATGAGGGAAAGAAGTCTCAAAGAAACAGGGACATTTGTCTTTAAGAAAAAAATTCGCTTCAATCAGTGAAAGCACCATTTAAATTCAATTGAATGTCTCTTTCTCAACAGTAAACAGAATAGGACAGCCCTTCAGACTAAGTTTTGAGAAGCTCATTAAAGTAACTTTGCTGTTAGAGAATACTCCAGTGAAATCAATCCAATAGCAGTTTAGCCGACAGTTTAACTATAATCAGGCTCGTTCTGATCAGGAAAAATTAAGAGATCTTTGATTTAAAAAGGCGTCTGCTCGGTGAGCGATATCCTAGCAACAACATTCCTGCTGCTGGGAAATGAGCGGAGCCAAGGCCCGGGGCAGCCCGCAAGAGGGCGGCACAGGGCCGGCAGTGGGGCAGCTCAGCGCTGACTTTGCTACGGATCATTTCCACTCTTTTTCCCCCTCCAAATAAATGCTACTGCTAGTTTTACAGCGTATCTTAACAGTGCTAATTTAATTAAAGTGTTCATTTAAACCCTGGTTTAAGTCTGTGCAAATAATGGAATTTTAACTGCTCCAAAAGAACCCAATTCCATCTCTTTATCCACACACCTACAGAGACACGAGCTCACCAACCCTGTGGTTTTAATTCCCTGTCACCTCATAATACCCATTTTGGGCCAGCACACTGTGCTGCTGAGGCAGCCTGGCACAGGCTGTTGTTCAGAGTCTGAGGCTGAGTTAAATCCACGCATGACAAGAGGCACAGTCACACATCCCCTTCTCTCACAACTCTTAGGAGAGTATAGCAGACATCTGTGCAGTGAGGCAGCATCTTAGCATCTGCCAATGTGAAATTTGGTTGAGGTCACCTGTGAGTGAGCCCAGTTTTAGAAGAACACTCAAACACAGAGGAAGAGTCTCCTCTCAGGATCAGCAACATAAGACAACAAATATTCTTGAAAAGGATAAATTCTGAATTTATTTAGAATAAGTTCTGAATTTATTATTTAAAACGAACACCAGAAAAAGCAATTTCCAGCCTTAGAAGGCTTGCTCTGATTCCTCAGCAGAGCTACCCTGAGCAAAGTGATATTTAGTTTGACTTCACCTCAACTCTGCACTGTTATTCCCTCTTGCAGCTTTGCATTCTGCACCTTTGTTCTCTTAGGAGGCAGAATCTGCTAAACGGCGTGGTGTAAATTCATTCCTGTAGTTATATTCTTATCAAGATATTTTAATTAGCAATTAGCTTATTTAAAATCTGACACATGAGAATGTAGCATACTCACGTGGCTACACCCAAACTTTCTCCATCAGATGTCTCCATTGTTCCTGCCTAGCCAGAGTGGAAGAGACAATCTGTATGTTTCAGCTGTTAGTGGTTATTTCTTCTTTTTGACCAAAGTGCTAAGGAATAATATGACTTAGTGTTAATACAAATTCAATTGCTAAGCTGCCATACATTTCCCAAAGAGCAAATCAGTAGATAAATTTTAATTCTTAAATACAGGAATTCCAACATCACATTCTTCCAAAATTATTACTCCTTTTCTGCAGCAACCCAAATAATCTAGAAACTTTCTCTGCCTATTCAGAGAACAGGCTCAAAATCAACCAGTCCCAATAAAGGGGTTTTGGGCACTTCTACATATTTTCTCCTGAAACATCTATGAGTGACAATTACAGAACTAAAGCCGGACAAGATAAAGGTGTGTCCCAGACCAGGCTGGTAGGGGCTGTGTGCCGGTCGGCCGCTCGGCCCGTGGCTGCGAGCAGGTGTCGGGGACAGGGCACACGGCACCCCGGGGCCGCCAGCGATGGGAACCCGCTGCTCCCGCTGGGCTTCACCCACCGCCGGCCCTCGGAGCAGTCCCGGGGCATCACCGCGAGCACGGCAGGAGCTGAGCGCCTCCCTCGCCTCCCCATCCTCAGTCCGGCGAGGGGGGGCAAAGCCCTCCAGCCCTGTCCCTCCCCAGGCACCCAGCTCGCCTCACTCCCTCCCTCTCCTCAAAGGGGTCCAGGGGAGGGCCATCACCCTCCCTGTCCCCACAAAGCGCCCCGGCAGCGGCTGCCCCCCGTTCCCGTGACCGCGGCCCCCGCCCGCACCCACCGCCCTCAGGCCGGCGCGGAGCCCCCTCCCCTCGGGCCGTCTCCTGGGGAACGCGCTCTTC